AATTTATTACTTTACTAATGCTCTAACAATATATGTTTAAATAATTGCAAATTATTAATAAAAAAAATATTTTTTATGTAAAGACAAAAATTGAGCTTTTGTTCTATTGTTCTATTTGCCAACATTAATTATGACCTACTCTGGCCTAAATCTAACTCTAAACGAAATCCAGTTACTGGCACTAACGATTACATATAGTTTTGATTTATATAGAACATATCGCGCATCACACTGGTGAGCGTGATACAGTATCTGCTGGTGGTCAGATGTTTTACGCTAAAAAAATTGACGTCCCTGGACATGTGATAAACGCATTCTCTACGTATTAACTAAAGCAGAAAATAACATTAAGCCTCTTGATAGTCGACCAAAAAAGGTTTAATTCTAAGCCACATCTATCCAAAATATATTCTTTGTGACTAAGTCATCGTGATTATTTGATGAGGATGATCGTGAGATGATGAATACGTGCTTCTCGTGTTTACTTTTGTTTTCAGATAACAAAAAGCCAAGTATGACTCTCTCACACAACAATTTTAGCATTTACCTGCTCGGATACCGTGAAAACGGCTTAGCGGTAGAAATGTATTTTTTGGGAAGTCAATGAAATTGACATTTTGAACTTTTCAAAAAAAGTTTTATGTGTAGATAACATATGTAGTTTTTTTTTTTTCTTTTCCCGCTGTCCTAACGATTTTCGACTTGTAGTTATTTTAATATCAATTCTTCATAATAAACAATTAAAAAAAAAATTTCTTCTACGCTTGTGTGCACGTTAAAATTCTAAAACTCATCATGGCATCAATTTCATCCACGAGATTCTCCCGTACACAATTAATTAAATTTGCAATTGCAATTAGTATTATAACAATTATATCAAATATAGCTGAAGGTGCACTTTCGATGTTCTTCGGTCAACAGACAAGATCAGTTAGTCTATTAATTTTTGGCATCGCTTCCTTTGTTGAAACGGCTTCCTCAATATTAGTCCTATGGCGTTTCATTACGGAAATTCGACAGAATATTGTCAAAGTTTCCGTCTCAACTATCTCTGCTACCTCTACCTCTTCCGCCTCTACTTCTTTCTCACATTTAGAAAAGGAACAGAAGTTAATTGAATTTGAAAGAAAAGGAGTATTAGGAATTGGTGGTTTATTCATTATATTAGCTCTTGGTGCATTATCACATTCCATCATTACATTGACACAGAAAAGTCATCCCGCAAACACGACAGCGGGTTTAATAATTTCCAGCTTTTCAATAGTATTCATGTTAATGGTATATGCTTTTAAGAGATACTTAGCTATAAAGTTAAACTCTTCAACAATGTTAAATGACTCTCAATGCTCATTGGCTTGTATTAAGATTACCGCGGTACTTTTTTGTAGTAGTTTGATTTATCTGATTTGGGCAGAATTGTGGTGGACTGATTCTGTGGCAACTTTATTATTTAGTATTTTTTTTGCTAAAGAAGGTTGTGAGATGATCACTTGTGCCAAAGACAAGAATTTTACCGGTGGATATAGTAGTCAGATAGCTACCAATGGCGAAAGACAAGGTAGTAATTGTAAAACTGATGAAGAGAGCGAGATTGGTACTAATAAGGAGAAAGGGCGACACTTACGAGTTTCCGTAAATGATGATGAACAGGTTGAAGAGTCTACATCTATTGGAGGTGCTTGGTGGAGAGAAAATGGCACAGATATTGAATTGGAACATTTGGCAAAGAGCGTCAAATATGGAACTGAGACTTCATTTTCTATCGCTATCGTAGCACATTAGGATGCAATTTTTTTTTGTATTTATTAAAATAACACCTTTGAACATGTATATAGGATAATAATATGAAATACCCTATTTTTTATACGAACAAAACATAATCGGTCACGTAGTTTTTATTATATAATGAGTTGTTAACAATCTGATAGGTGTCTAAGACGGTGATGTGCGTACTTTCGTAAGTTAATTAGGATTTTAATACTTATATTTATTACATATTACTTTTTTTAGCTTAAAAGTGGACTCTAAGTATATATCTAGTTAAAATAAATTTAATAAATTTCGGATATATACACAAAATAAAATTATACCAGGAACGTAGTAATGAAATTACGGAGTGTATGGTTAACCGACAACTAGAATGGTTAGTGAACAAATTCCGGGT